AAGCGTAAACTGCCCCAACCCAGTTTATACCGTATAAAATGGGTAGCTATTAAATTCATTCCTTAACTAAACATGCAGTAAACATAACGTCGTAGTAACGTCTATGATGTCATAGCACTATGACGTCACAGTTCGGTAAAAGTCTTTAACATAAACATGATCAAGGTAAATTAGAAAAGCACTATAATGTCTATAATTCACAACAAACTTCAATGATCAGGAATTACAAGTGGGTGTATGGTCAGGATTCTCATTTGGTCTCTATGATATATTCCTTTTTCGAATACCTACGTTTATGATATTCCTCCGTTAACCTCCTGCACTGTTTCCACCAATTAAACAGTTTACGAGTATTGTACGAGTACATTGTAACACGTGTGTGAAATTCAGACAGTGCACCAATGTAAAATTGTGCTTCAACATATTTAACTTATTTGCTGAACCATTTGCCAAGTTAATTGAATAATAATTCCAAAACTAACTTACTTAAAGATAGCTATTGAATAGCACTGGTGAGATACAGGCTATCATGTGAACAAAGTTAAAAAGTGGGGAGGGCATCCACGATAAAAGGTAGCATTATTTTCAGCATCGTATTCAGACTTCCAAAATAAAATATAGAGTAAAAATTAATTTTTATTACTAAACACCAAACTTTTTTTGATATATAATTAGATTTTTTTAAAATTTCAATCAAAGTTAAAGGTCTAAATGACACTGAAGTAGTTTGCGACACACCTTCTACTTAGGATGCATCAATTGGCCAAGTTGATCAGTATATTGGTCCAATAGCTTTCTAGAAATGGGTCTGACAGGATTTTTTCCATATTTTGCCTGGCATCTTAATTAAAGGTTAAAGCAGTCTGCTTTTATACGCGTCAAACACCTTCATCCAAAGAAGTATCTGCTGAAAATAATTTCTTTTTAAATTTTTGGCCTAATAGTATTAAAGTAAAGAATCGGACACAATAAGCTAATAGACAGACAGACGGACGGACATGAACGCCATAGCATAAAACAGTCCATATTAAGTCAGGCATAAGAATATAGAGATTTCAAACAGTATCCAAGCTCAAAAATTTATAAAACATTACACGGTTAATATAAGCAATATTCTTGGTCACAAAAGCATCCAGTCTTGTATTCCACCATATTTCAAGTTAAAGACTACACCTTGTATTTCCTACAAATAACATCTACCGTTGCTTCCAAACTTTTTAATTATAATTTTTTTTTACATGGCCTGGATATCGAGTACTTGCTTCTGAAACTTAATCTTCCATCGTGTTCATGTTCTTCACCCTATAACTATAGTTCTGCTGGGCACGTAATTACAGATGAAGTAAACATAGTTAATAATGAGGACCTTAGAACACTTATTTTAAAAGGTCCTACATATAGGAAACCCCGATCCTTCAACTGGCGTCAGAATTTCATAAATATTATGGATTTTGTTGAAGATTACGCCCGACGCTGGGCCAGATATGAAAAAAGAAGACGTTGACACCTTGTTAGAATGGATTAAATGTATCAGATCCATGTCATTTAAAATTAAAGGACAATATGATAACCATCTATCCTCCTGTATTCAATAATTCAGAACTGAAAAAAAGAATTAGATAGATTACATGATCAGTACGTACTGTTCCCTGCCGACAAAGCAGGTAACAAAATTGTAAGGCTCATTATATAATTAACTGTATTTTAGAAGAACTTGGATTTAATTCTACAAGTGGTAATCCAACTTATAGTCACTGTTCCCGTTCTACGGAAGAAATACTTCTAAAGCATATGTTAGTTTTGAATATTTTTAATATCCCGAAGAACGAATATTGGTTTCCGAAACATCATAAGAATACTTACAAACAAAGATACATTGCAGGTTCCCGTAAATGTCCAACCAAGCCTCTTTCGTTACTCCTCACTAAGATATTGCCAGTAATGAAGGAAAAACTTAACGAGTACGGTGCAAAAATATATTCAAGAAGTGGTGTAAATCAGATGTGGATACCTAAAAAATCCAAGGAATTTTTGGACAATTTGAAATCACAAGAATTTAACAAAATCAACAACTTAAACTATTCTGTTGAACTTGAGATAAAAAAAAACCTAAATAGTCTGACACATCTGTTTATTATTTGGATATTTTACTTGAAAAAGACGTTAATGGTAATCTAATCTAACAACAAGGCTCTATGATAAACATGATTACTTTAACTTTTCTTTCGTCAACTTCCCCTACTTATACAGCAATATACCTTCATCACCTGATACGCAGGAGCATGCTCTGTGTATGAACAATTTCTAAAGCGAGGTAAATTATTGACAAACAAGTTGACGAAACAAGAATATGAACAGACTCGATTAAAGCCATCATTTTGTAAATTCTAGAGTCTTCTGACTGACGTTTTTTGGTCGATACAATGTCTTGTCAGCAAATACAAATTATCATTGAGTCAAATGCTGACTGACGTTTTTCATACTTATTTTTAGTCCATTATTTATACACTTAATGGACAACGGATTTTTCCGTTATTTCCCGATCATGACAAGGAGCACACGGCGAGTGTGACCGGTCGGCAGGGTATGCTCACTACTCCATGGCACCGGATCCAATCTCTGATGTTTTGGAGGTTTGTGTTTGCTCTGCTCCTATTTTGCATTGTTTTAAGGACTTCTTATCTTAAATTCAGAAGATTTTTAAAGATTGTTCCATTATATTTCTACGTAAAACTTTGATTCCCTATTGCGGCCCTGCCCAACCCCCGGTGGTCATGATTTGAACAATTTAGAATTTGCACTACCCCAGGATGCTTCCACATAAGTTTTAACTTTTCTGGCCCAGTGGGTCTTGTGAAGAAATTTTTCAAAAGATTTATCCTATATACGAGGGGTGATCAAAAAGTTCGCGAACTAATTGAATAACTTCCAAAAAAGATATAATATTTGGTTTCAGTGTTGATAATATTTTAAATTAGTCCTCTCCGATTTAAATGCACATCTGCCACCGTTCTGCTCATGCGCGAATCACGTGATATAGGTGGTCACGTAACCCCCTCCGTATCGTTCTGTCACAAAGCTGAAAGATTTTTCTGAGTTTTATATTTCTTTCCATGTAAGTTAATTTTTATAACAAGAACAATTCATTTGTCAGAAATGGTAAATTCTCTGCAATAGAATGGGTGGATACGAATATCCTTTCCAAAAATAAGCATGGCGACCATCAAAACTCAAATCTTCTGCCTCGGGAGAGACTTTTATTCAAAGTGAATAGAGAATGGGTGCCCCCTTTTTTATCATATCTAATATGTTTTCGGCTCAGGTGAGCTAAAATAAACATATTTTCATATTAAACATGTATGTTTTAACGTAGCTGCAGGACTACAGATTTTCCCCCAAAATATACATGAATGTTTACAAACCAGAGATTTTAACTCGCGATCGTTCATTCTCTTTTCTTTTCAGACCAGCGAGCTACTGTCTGCAGCTAGGCTTTACATTGATCACTTCTAAAACAATTAGTTAGTAGGTTAATGCATCTTTGTTTTATACTCCTTATTCAAGATCATAAACGCATGAAGAACGTTTAAGGTACATGTAGTACAAAATAAACACAAAATCATTTTTACCTCATTTCTAACAAAGTGCATGAGGCAATAAAATAACATCACTTTATTGTCAACAATCAATGATCTTTGTAGGAAAATTAATAACTTTTGACATGTTTTGTCATAATTTGTTTTAAGAAATTCAAGAGATTATACCCCCTACCCCAGGTATATATTGGCCACTTATGCCTAGGTCACATTTCTCGGCCGGTAGCCGTAGACCGGTGGTAATCGGTAGTAATCCGTGGTGTTAACGATGCCCCAACATCGGTCCACATCGGCCTAGTAGTCCTAAAAGTATCAGTCACAGTATCCAGCGATGTGCATACGATAGGCAACCAATGCGTTTTATGAGAAAAATGGCGTGGTTGCCGGCTGGACTTACAAAGGCCCAGCGATGCATTGCTAATCATAAAACGATGTTCCAGGATAATCGGCCGATGTATATTACATCACTCATACATTGGTGAACATCGTTCGTACATCGGTCGACTACAGGCCAATGTTTGGTCGAACATCGACCGATGATCGGTCGTTATCTGTTGAACACCATTGAACTCCCCGATGACCTCAGATTCAACGGATATTGGACGATCGTCGGCCATACATCGGCCGATCCTTGAAAGATGTGTTAATGATGGGTTGCCGATGAGGAGCGATGTGAGGCATCGTTGGAGACATCGCTGAATTTTAACTACGAATTATTTCCTACCGATGACCCCACCGATTCGCAAAAAAGACTGAGTCACCGTCCGATCACTAGTGGTGCCCGGCCGGCAACAACGCCATTTTCATCAAAAAACGTATCGGTTTCTCATCGTATACACCATCGTTGGATAATGTGACTTATACTTTAGCAGCCAACATTTTAGAATGTCTTTATGCTGTCTAAATTCGAACCAACAGTCTTTTGTTAAATGCAAGGTAATTTTTGATCTGTAAATAATAATAAAATGTTTTGACATGAAAAGAGGAGTCTCAGGGATCTCCATTCTTTATGCACATGTACAATAAAGGTCAAGGTCACATAAAGAGGTCAAAGGTCAAATATTTTGACGCCATCTACTGATTTTTTTTTAGTTTTTTTGTCGTTGATTTTTTTTCTGAAAACACATGATCAATTTTCTGTATCATGACATTTTTTTTTATTCAGGGATCAGTTTTAATCATTTTCTAGATTATTTGGTAAAAATTGAACGATATCTTTTCTCTCAAGTTATCTGGAACTGAGTATGTGTACAACTCAAATCTAACAGTATCAGTATATTTTATTAAGTTTTAGTAACGAAACGTCGCCTTTGTAGACAGCATCAAACAAGGTTGCAATCGATCAATTAATAATAATAATATATAAATAAAGTACATTATCAAGATGAACGTGTGATTTTAAAATCATTTTACAGAAAGCCTGTACGTTACCCCCTTTCCTAAAACAGTAAATGATAATTAGATATGAAATAATTAAATGCAGTACAGTATATCTATCAAAGTACGTTCATATGTTGTGTAGCTCGAGATTACTACTTTTACGTTTTTAAACCGAAAACCTTTATTTTTTCACTTTGTAGATGAACTTGCAAAAATGGAGAGAGATAACTTATACTAAAAAAAACTTTACCATGTATAGAATTTCTACATGTCATTTTTGTTGGAAACAGTTAATGTATAATTGTAATGAAAATTCAATGCAGTTTTGATTTATGCATAAAACAGCTTCTTGTGTTATAAAATTACCTGGAATAACGATGACAGATGATCCGCTGACAGTCTCACAGACGGCACATGGGACATCATGATTGTGCATAGATCGTAAGGCATAAGTTGTATGGACTTCGTATTCTGCCCCGAATACATATCCTGCATAGGCGTTCCCTCCGCTGTATCCTGCCCATTGTGGATCTCTCGGTAAACAGGGTGGTTCTACTGCAGCAAATAACAAAATAAGTAAACCACTCCTATGATGTACTGAAAACAAATAATACAACATGCTATATAAAGTATTATTCTTGTATATTTAGATCGTACCTGAGTAGATTAGTTCTGCAGTGCTGGGACAATCCTTGCGACCCCAGCGAGTGTATACAGCTCTCCCTTGTGAGCCAGTCATAAATACCTGAAATATTGCTACCGCCACGACAAAGAGGAAAGGAATCATTTCCAAAAATATGATCTGAAATACATCTTGATAAGTATTATTTTTTTATTTTCAAATATGTATTTAGAAAAATGAAAATTACTAATCAATGAAATAAAATTTTATATGTATATTACAGCAACATTACCTTATTCAACTTCAGCATTTACTTGTTCTTGATTTTGTCGAAGAGATCCTGTTTTATATCTTATATTCGACATTAAATGTTTTGTTACTATCTCGTGTTCGCAAAAAAAGATGGAAAAAACCGTTTAGCATAAATCATTCAGCCTCAAATTACCAAAATATTCACACATGGAGGTTTTAAATTTCAAGTGAGATCTATAAATTCAGTTTGTATTACTGTAATTCATTTATTTCTTTTTTTTTTCTTTCAATGAATTCAATATAAAACAACGTAAAAAAAAAGTATGTGAAACAATAATAAACATTAGTTTCTAAGAAAAAAAAAAATCATTTTTCATTCTTTTTATTCAGTCCCTTTTGGGGATTCGATTTATAAAACTGTTTGTCCTAATTCGGCCCATGGATGGAGAATGTGCATGTTTTTAAATTTAATGCAGATCTTCAATTTAAAAAACAACATACTACTGTTAGCATGGTTCAGATGTATATATTGAGCTCGTGTGGCATCCCATATGCATGCCCACGGAAATAAAAATACGTTTTAATTCAAAGACTTTAAAAGCTTGGACAGGGAGCATAGATATAATTAAAATCTACTGCAACATTGCAAAATATAATTTTGATTATTTTTTTTAAAAAATGGCTCAAATATTCTCAATAACTGAAAACTTTCAAATCTTTTATGAAGTTTAATCTTTTAAATAAACAAAAAAAAAAAAAAAAAAAAAAAAAAAACTCAAAAATTTAGAATCTTACAAAGAAATTAAACTAAAGAATATACAAAAATGAAATCAATAAATACTTGGACATTCTGTATTGAAATAAAATGTCTATTACCGGATTCCATAGGTACCCTGAAAATATACCATTAATTTCCGTATATTTCGTATTTTTGATTATACTTTACCGAAAGAAAGTGGGCATGCCTAAAACCAAAGAGAAACTAGAAATTGTATAAAAAGAAGATAATGAATATTTATGCAGCTCGTACATCTGTTAAAACAATACAAACTGGGAGAAGAGCATAGTCATACTGTGAGTATAGTGTCACTTTGAACATCCTTGTATTCGACTCCGTAAACCAATTTACAACATAATCTTACTCCAGTTGTATTGAATCGCCTTTGAGAGTATTTTAGTAAACATGGCGGCTTACGTTTATTAAGACCTTCTAGCAAATTCTCCATACGAGTAAAAGAAGAAACATAAAATAATAAGTGGTAGTGATTGTCAAAATGTTCTAATTTTTTTTTAATTAGGTTTTAGAAACGGGTATTTTATGAAGGATATGGAGATAACGAAAAAAAAATAATGGAGTAACAATAATTATAAAAAACGTCAGTTAGCATTTGACTCAATGATAAATTGTATTTGCTGACAAGGTCATTGTATCGACCAAAGAACTTACGAAATGATGACTTTAAACAAGACTTCTGATATTCTTGTTTCATCAACTTGTTTGTCAATAATGTACCTCGCTTTAGAAATTGTTCATGCGTAGAGCATGCTCTTGCGTATCGAATCAACTGAGATATATAAACGCCATATGCAGGTGTTGAAGGTATATTGCTGCATAAGTAAGGGAAGTTGACGATAGAAAAGTTAAAGTTTATTATAAAAATTGGTTGTTAGATTATCATTCACGTATTTTTCGAGTAAAATATCCAATTATGAAACAGATGTGTCAGACTCTTTTAAAATAAAACTGGAACAAATCTTTCTCGTGAAGACTTTCTTCAGCCAATGATACATGTGCCTGCGTGACATGTACATTGAGTCCATATTCTAAATTGATAGTGATTGCGTGATTGTCGATGTAACACATTTTACAAAAATGATTTTGGACAATAATAAAAATCAATTGTAAGTACTGAAGTAAGACAAAATGCCATGAATAATCAACAAAGAATTTTAAAAGAATACAAAGTTATTCCTTATTACACCAATATAAAAAAGACGAAATAATTTTTAAAAACTGAGCTTTCAATGACAATCTGTTATATAGGTTCTAAACAAAAGAAATATTTCTAATTCTGTAAGATGCTGCCTTGGTTGTTCAGGTATATTTCTTTCCATATCCCGTATACCATCTGGAGTGAGAATTCTTCTGAAATTATAATCAGAGTCAACAATTAAACAAATAAATGATATCAACTAAACGTAAAGTTAGAAAACGAATGTTAATAAAGTAGCGATTGATATGTTACAATCTTGGATTTCAAAAGTCAAAAAGTGAACAACGTAACGTACGTAGTACAATTAGGTGTGTAGTAATATTGCTTCAAATGTATATCTTTTTTCTCATTCTTACTCAATGTCTAGAATTAAATTCATTATATATACAAACAAATTTATCAACAAATCCACTGAATTTTTTTCAGGATTCGCCGTAAAGTGAATAGAATATCAGTAACGACATTTGAAAAAAAAATTTCGGTGACATCTCGTATACTCAGTACGTAATTTTTGTTAATTTTCACAACATCTTGCTTTAATACCTTATTCACATTGAAATTAGAACCTCTACGTCCACAATGTACCGGGTATGTCAAGAAAGAAGAACTGAAACACAGACCCCATAAATACAAATTCAATAAGTGGGATCAGGTACTTAGAAGGAGTAAACATTCCCATTGACCGGTCAGCTTAGCTGTGTCTTCTTTGTATTGATCGGGTAGGTGGATAATTTTGTAATCTAGTTTAGCATATTATAAACAAAAGTCCATAATATAATGAAATATGTGGAGATTACGAACATTTTTCGAGCTCAAAAGTCCATTCAACATTACAAAATAGGAGTGGAGCCAACACGGACCTCTAAAACATCAGAGGTGATCAGGTACAATGGGGAAGTGAGCATCCCCTGCCAACCGGTCACACCGCCTTTTTTTTTTCCTTGTCATGATCGGGAAATATCGGAAAATATCATTGGATAACTCAGTGTGTATATAATGGCTTACCAATCAGTATGGAAAACGTGTCAGTCAGCAATTAAATCAATGATAGATTATATTTCGCATGACAAGGTCATTGTAATGACCATAGATCTTACGAAATGATGACTTGAAACAAGAATGTTGATATTCTTGCTTCATCAACTTGTTTTTCAATAGCTAATCTCGTTTGACAAATTGTTTATACGTAGAACACGCTCATCCATATCGAATCAATTGCGAGATATAAACTTCGTATGCAGGTGACAAAAGTATATTGCTGCATGAATAATGGAAGTTGACGGTTGAAAAGTTAGTCATCATGTTAATCATAAAGCTTTGTTATTAGATAACCCTTAACGTCTTTTTTCTATTGAAATCTGCGAATATGAAACAGATATGTCGGAATATGTGGTACTTTTTATTTCAAGCTCACCGGGATTTATTGGGTCAACATCCAAATGGAAATGATAATTATTAATTGACAATACGAAGTTATGACTTTAAATGTATTCTTGTATCATTAACTTGTTTGTATAAGTAAGAGGCGTTTGCGATAGAAAAGTAAAATCATTACGTTTCTCATGAAGCTTGGTTGTTAAAAAAAACCATGAACGTCTTCAGCTTTTGCAAGTGAAATATTTAAATATGAAATAGATGAGTCAGATTTTTTGGTATAGAACTGTTATTTCAAGCTCATAAGGATATATTGTTTCAACATAAGAATGGAAAATAAACTATTATTAATTGATCGATGTACTTGACTCGAGTTGAAGGCTATAGGGCAAGTGTTGTCTTCTTTTCACGTACAAATTTTTGGACAAATTCTGCTTCATATGCGTACTTAGATATGTTGCTTCACTGTATTCTTTACATTTTTTTTTCATTTAATTAATTTCAAATAAACATTGATATGTACAGCATATAATAACATGGTATATCCAATAAAGTACAAAAGTAATATATATATTAACTAGTAAAGATAAATAAAAAGTAATAAAAGCGTGTATGTTGAAGTTTGCTGAGCTATTCTTGGCTGAATAAATCAAGTTATATATTTTACCATATATGGTTACAATTATCATCTGTAAAATTCTTTTAGATAAGTTGATGACATGAAAATTCTGTATAAAAATGTAATTTTACAACCACAATTCTAAAACAGTTGAGGAGTAAAGCTAAAATTAGAATACACAATGATACATACTAAATGAAGCTTAAATTGGGAAAGAAACATTGATTTTGTTATGTTTGCATATTTTAATGCAATAACTAGTTAGAATTTTAATACAATTTCCTGCTTAGAAATCTAATTGAAGGATACATGTCCTGATGCTTTCCATGCAACACTCGGATCAATTCATACCTATATGAAATTTGAAAGTTGATGAACATTCTTAATCAGTTTTAAGTAAATTCCTTGGTTTAACTTCACATACATGGTTATACATGTTTTTCTGGTTTTCTTAATAATTGAAAAATAATCTTTAGTTAATAAAATAAACATTTTATAAATTCAAAGAAAATTGAAAGAGAAATCGTTTACTAGAGAAAAGCAATAATGTAAGAAGAGCTGAATACAATAGAGTAATTAAGCATTGAATATCTAACATATTTGTGTTTAAATAAAACATCAGCTGCAAATGATATTATTTGATGTAAACTTTAACAGCATGTAGCACATTTCAATTAAATTAAATAGTACATTTACATAATTAATAAAATGCTAATTAAATCGATAAGAAAAAAGTACTTTCGTGATCTGAAGTCGTCATGCACTTATTTCAAGTTTTTTTCTCTACGTATATTTCTGACATGTTTTAAAATCTCAAGATATAAAACTATAATTAATTGTTTCTAAAAACAAAAAGAAAATTACGAACTATACAACAT